GGCGCGGGGGCAGGGGATTCAGCCCCCGGCCGTCGAGCCCCCGCGCCCACAAGGACAACCCGTTCGGCGACCCGCCCTAAATCTACTGGTACGAGTGGATCGTGGGTGCCTTCTGCTGCGGCTGCTGGGGCACAGGCCCCCATCGGGGCCAGCAGCGACGCCGCCGCCGCGGAGACCCCGGCAGCCTGGGGGACCGCCGCCGCCGCGCCTCTGGCACCTGAGGGGGCCCAGCCACATGAGCGACACGGAGAGGCAGAGGCCTCTCCCTCGGCCAGCGCGAGCGCCGCCGCCGCGGAGGCTCCAGCATCCTGGAGACCCGCCGCCGCCGCGCCGCTGGCCACTGGAGAGGCCCAGCCACATGAGCGACACGGAGGCGCCCCAGCGGGGCTCATACGTCGTCACGCGGCCGGCCCCGATGGCACGCACTGCTCGCCTCCAGCCATAGCGGCATCTGAGGTTGAGGGTACCGACCATCGGGGAGCCTCGACTGGCGAGAACGCGAGCCTGAGCACGAGAGACCCCACAGGGGCAGGTCGTGACCCTCCCCCGATGGGCACCCTATCCACGGGGAAGTTATCCGTCGCCGCGAAGAATGATGGTGGAAAGCTCTTGGCTCAGGCAGAGGTCGCGACCGCGGTCGCCGCTCAGCCACCTTGCACTCCAGGCAGGGAGGCCGAGGTCACGGACACTCTCAACGACGACACGCTCACGCTGATCACGTACAACTGCAACGCTTGGTCGACGGCTCAGGCGCTCATTGAAAGGATGCACCACGATGTGAAGCGCGAGGTTCACCACTATCTCTTTCAGGAGACGCGTTTGCTGCAGGGGAGCGCGGCGCCCCCAACCTCGTGGGCAGGCAAGGCGGGCCTCACGATGCACGCTGGGGCGGCCGCGGTCACAGGCGAAGGGGCCCCGGAGCACTCAGGAGGAGTGGCAATGCTGTCGCGGTCCTCGGTCGGGGCCAGGTCCTTGGAGGAGGCGTTCCCTGAGAGAGTGAGGCATCGCCTGGTCGCCCAGCTGGTTTCTGCGACGTCGGATGTCCAGTTTGTTTTCGTCTCGGCCTACCTGGTGACGAACGAAGGCCTGGGCCCGAGAAACCAGGACTTGCTGGCAATCTTGGGCGAGTTCATTGATGCATCGGAGTGGCCTGTGGTGGTCGGCGGCGACTGGAACATTCCTGTGGACGAGATCGTTGCCTCTGACTGGCCAGGCCGCTGGCATTTGCAGTCTGTTGCGCCCGAGGACGACACTTGCAATAGCAATATCTTTGTCTTCTTTATGATCTCGCAGTGTCACGCAGTGTCTCCTCCCATATGTTTTTAGAGTCCAGGCGCTTTTGGACACGCCCAGGGGCCCACACGCAGCGGTTTCCCTGGAGCTCAAAGGCCTATCGAGCCGTGCTAAAGTGTGGCAGCGCGCTGTGCCCTCTGTTTTTCCGCTCGACCCACCCACCGATCCAGACGGATCGATGATCCCAGGGCCCGATCTTTCAGGCAGGGTTTGGTCTTGGGAAGCTGGGCCCCTCCCTCCGAGGCCCCTGGAGGCGGCCAAGGAAAGGTTTAAAGCTGCATAAGATTGTTTGATCAGCTCGCACCAGATCCCAGCAGGGGGCGTGGCCAAGCACTCAGGCCGATCGCAGGGATGCCAGTTTCAACTGATGCCGCTCCGTGCAGCCTGGGGCCGCGAGCTTGCGCGTCGCTCGACGGCCAGCACGGCGAAGTGGCTGCAGCTCCGACGAGTACTGTCGCAGCTGCTAGGGCTGACCAAAAAGAAAGGGGGTCGGACGGGGGTGACTTGGGGGAGGCTCTTGAGGGTGCTCGATCAGGTCAGCCCCTGTTTGATGTCGGCGGGGGCCGAAGGGCTAAGCGCCATCTCTGGTAGTGAACTGTTGGAAGGTCTGCAGGATCCCGACAGGTGCCCAGACCTCGTTGCCGCCTTTGCCAAGGAGGAAGGTACCAAGCTAGCCAGCGACGCGTCCCAGGCCAGGCAGGCTCGGCAGGATTTCGCTCAGTCTTCAGTGCTCAGGGGCGGGCGCATCGCTCACATTGGAGGTGAGGCCACGGTGTCAGGGCAGGTGGCTAGGGCCTTCAACTTTGTTGTTGCCGATGCGCAGGCACGCAAGCTGCCGATCTCGTGGAACAAGGCGGGAGTGCTGGCCAACATCAGTGCACTTGCGTCTGCCTTGATGGCAGAGCTGCCCCCGCAGTTGGCTGCCAGCCGAGAGTCAGCTCATAGAGATCCGGGGGGGATGCGTCGGACGGGCGGGTGACCTTGGTGGACGGTCGGGGGGTCGACTGGGATCCGCGATTTTACTCGCCTGCCTGTATAGCAGCTCAGATTTCGTTCGCGGCTAGGCGCGCCTCGGACGTCCGAGCGCTAAGCCTGCAGGACGGTCCCTGGGTCACCGACGTGTGCTGGAGGCCCCTACTAGATCTCCTAGAGGTGTGCAAATTGTGCGAAGGAGCTCGGGGAACCATGTTTCACCGTTGCTACGCCT